GCCCGGGTTTCCAGCTAGATCCACAGTAGGGGGAGTGCAGGAGGAAACCATCAATGTTTCACTCTCACACTGATGTTTCTTTCTCCCCCCCCCACCTCCCTCCCTCCCTCTCTCTCTCTCTCTCTCTCTCTCTCTCTCTCTCTCTCTCTCTCTCTCTCTCCATCTATATATATATATATATATATATATATATATATATATATATATATATATCTCAGGTCTAGTAATAATTGTCGTTTTTAAACATTCGTTTAAAATCTTGCTTGGCGTTGACTTGTATTGACATAACCTTCAAACACGTGGTATCTACAGAACGTGTGAAGTGCAATTACCAAGTTTTGCTTGAAAAAGTGTGTTTGGTTTGGTTTTTGTTGCAAAACTAGGGCTAAGAAGATGGCGAATGAAGAGCATATTCGGCACTGCATGCTTTACGAGTTCCAATTAGGAAGAAAAGCAAGTGAGGCTGCAAAAAACATCTGTAGTGCTCTTGGTCAAGATGCAGTTAGCGCCAGAAAATGCCAGCGTTGGTTTGAGAAATTTCGCAAGGGAAATTTTTTGTTAGATGACAAGAGTGGTCGAGGCCGTGTGTCCAATTTTGATCAAGAAGCTCTTCAAGCTCTTTTGGTGCAAAATCCTCAAATTACCCAACAAGAGCTTGCGACAACTTTAAATTGTTCACAAAAAACAATTTCCAATCAATTGCATGCACTTGGCAAAGTCCAAAAGTTTGGAAAATGGGTTCCTCATGAGCTGACCGACAACAACCGTAATCAAAGAGTCACAATCTGCAGTTCGCTCCTCTCTCGTCAAAACCGTTTGCCGTTTTTAGAGCAAATTGTTACCGGAGATGAACAATGGGTGCTGTATGTTAATTTGAAAAGGCGGCCTCAATGGTTGGACAAAAATGAGGCTCCACAGCCCACGCCAAAACCTGACTTGCATGCGAAAAAAGTGATGTGGTGTGTTTTGTGGAATTTTAAAGGAATTCTTCATTATGAACTTTTACCATCTAACCAAACCATTACAAGTGCAGTGTACAGTGCCCAATTGGAAAGGTTAGCCCATACATGTCAAACACAAGGCCCGCGGGCCAAATCCGGCCCGCCAGGCCTTGCAATGTGGCCCGCACCGCGCTGTCATCACTGCACTCCGCTGCGTTCCATCACAATGACATCGCGGTGACATAGGAGGCTTGTGATCTCGCCGGCCGCCCTATTACGCATGCGCATAGATAACAAGTCACGCAAGATTCAGGAGGCGTGACCTATAGTCCGGCATCCGATGTGGTTGTGCGGGTGGCAGAGCAGAGGAGAGAGTGAGTGTGCGGGCATAAAAAATACACAGCAGAAGCTGCCAGTTCCTGGCATAAAGTGCAGGCATAAAAATCACAACAGAATCTGCTATCTGTACCCAGCCAGGCATTTATTGACTGACTTTTTTTTTCTCCACTCCATCTGCCAAATCAAGCTATCCCTGTGCAGTTTTCAACTTTTTCCTTCTAACGCAGATTTCCAATAAACTACATCTTTTACTGCCAATATTGATCCCAAAATGTCCAGGAAAAGAAAAGTTGACGGTGAAGGCAGACAATTTAATGACAAATGGGAAAATGAATACATGTTTGTGCTTAGAGAGGACAAACCAGTGTGTATATTGTGTTATGAGACAGTGTTGGTGATGAAAGAGTACAATATACGTCGTCATTTTGACACCAAACATAATGTTAAGTATGGCAAATATACTTTGGAAGAAAAGCATAAAATTGTTAAAGAACTAAAAGGCAAACTACAATCACAGCAGCAAATGTTTACAAAGGCTACAGCGAAAAATGATGCTGCAGTGAAAGCAAGCTTTATAGTGGCTGAAGAAATTGCCCGTACTTCAAGGTGTTTTTCAGAGGGTGCCTTTTTGAAGCAATGCATGCTAAAAGTGTGTGAGCAAGTATGCCCAGACCAGATACAGAGTTTTCAAAATGTCAGTTTGTCAAGAAACACCATTGCAGATAGAGTTCAAGAACTCTCAGGAAATCTATCATCACAGCTGGCCGAACAGGCATGCAGTTATCTCGCTTTTTCACTTGTTATCGATGAAAGCACAGACAACACTGATACAGCACAGCTGTCCATCTTTATACGTGCTACGAAGACCGACCTCTCTGTCACTGAGGAACTTTTGGATGTAGCTGCCATGCGTGGGACGACGACTGGTAGAGATATATTTGAGGCTGTGGAGAAATCTATAAATAATTTTAAATTACCCTGGGAAAAGTTGGTGGGGCTAACTACCGATGGCGCACCTTCAATGTGCGGAGAAAAGAAAGGCTTGGTTGGACTAATGAAGGAAAGAATGCAAAAAAGTCACTGCCACACACCCTTCATTACTTATCATTGCATTATCCACCAAGAGGCTATGTGTGGAAAAGTTCTGGACATGAATGACATAATGACCACAGTCATTAAAACTATTAACTTTATACAGGCACGTGGCCTGAATCATCGCCAGTTCCAGCAGTTTTTACAGGAGGTGGGTGCAGAGCATGGAGACGTGCCATACCACACAGAAGATGGCTGAGCAAGAGCGCAGTCCTCAAAAGATTTTTTGAGCTCAGAGAACAAATTGCTGTTTTCATGGAAAGTAAAGGAAAGCCCTTGCCTGAACTGTCAGATCCCACCTGGCTATGTGATTTTGCTATGATGTGTGACATATGCGAGCATCTCGCCCAACTGAATCTGAAGCTGCAGGGATGCAAACAAGTCATCACGAAGATGTCTGACATGATCACAGCATTCCAGCGTAAACTTCAACTATGGAAGTCCCAACTGGAACAGGACAATCTTGCCCACTTTCCCGTTTGTTTGAGTATCTCAACCACTATTTCTGGTACTTTTCCTTGCAGTCGGCTGGCTACCAAAGTTAGCCGTTTACTAAGTGAATTTGAGCGGCGCTTCTCTGACTTTAGAACACAGCACTCAGGCTTTGACATCTTTGCCAATCCTTTTACAGTTGATGTCAACAATGTGCCCCATCACCTTCAGATGGAGATAATCGAGCTTCAGTCTGACAGTGGCCTGAAATCAAGGTTTCAGGATGTTGAAATTGAGGACTTCTACCCTCTACTGCCCCCTGACTCAATGCCAGAGCTCCGACTTCATGCTGCCCGTATTCTATCCATGTTCGGGAGCACCTATCTTTGTGAACAGATGTTTTCAATAATGAATCTGAACAAAAACAAGCACAGATCACGCATTACCGATGACAACCTCCATGCTGTTTTGCGGGTTGCTACAGCCCAAGAAATAAAACCGAACATTGACTCATTGATCCGGGGAAAACGGTGTCAGACATCTAGCCAGAAAACAAAACAATGAGCATTTTAGGTACATTCCAATATTACTGTTTTGCTTGATACCAATATTACTGTTTTGCTTGATAGCATGTGAGTTGGTTAACAGCACTGTTAAGGAAAAGATTGTTCCACTCATTTTAAATTCACATTTCTGGTTAACATTGTCAGTTTATGACTGTTCAGTAAACCATTCGGCCCGCGATTTAGGCTGGATTTTAGATTTTGGCCCCTTCTCTGATTGAGTTCGACACCCCTGGGTTAGCCCAAGCTTTAAGAGAAAAAGAACCCGCGCTGATTAATCGGAAGGGCATAATTCTTCACCACGATAACGCACGACCGCATACTGCAAGAATCACTGCTGAAAAACTGCGCCAGTTGGAATGGGAAGTTCTCCCTCAACCTGCATATTCTCCTGATATTGCCCCTTCTGATTACCATTTGTTTCGTTCTTTGCAAAACTTCCTTCTTGGAAAAAAATTTAATAATGAAGAATGCCTCAAAATGCATTGACCGAATTTTTTGCATCAAAATCACAAGAATTTTACAACAGAGGGATTAAAATGCTTCCTGAGCATTGGGCACAAGTAGTAGAAAACAATGGCAACTATATTGTTGATTAAATTTTGTTGTATTGTTTAAATAAATTCGATTTAAAAAGAGTATTAGAAAACGACATTAATTATTACTAGACCTAATATATAGTGGTATTTTTCACATATGTGAGTTAATACTGAGTCTTAGCAGTTCCATGTTCAGCTATAAGTTAAATTTTTTTTTTCCACTTCCCTCCAGGGCCAAAGCTCCTTTAGTCCCTAAAAGGGACTGAGCAATTAAAGCTTAAACTCATAGGTTAAAGGCTACCTAAAGTAAGAGGGCTTTCCTAATCTCTGTCATAAAAAAAGAACCAGTTATTTTGGGAACAAATAAATGAGACCAGAAGTTGTGGCCTTGGTCAAAAACAAATTTATTTCAGCTTTACATGTTGCACTGACAGTGACAGTCCTTTGTCTTCTCAAAATTAATTATGAAAACAATAAAATATAACCTTAGGAAACCAGTTAACTTACTCAAGGAGTTAACTTACTTGGTTAAAACTTAGCAAACTAATCTGAGATTAGAATTTCACCAGTCTTTCCTAAAATTTACGTTTCTGTTTGGTGAGGTTTAGTTTCAAATTATGAAAAACCTGATGTGGGAGTCTCAGGCCCAGTGCCATCTTCCACACACTCATCTTGAGAGGCTCTGAGGGGCCTTTCCCATCTCACCTTGTTTCTGGACTTTTGGGCTGTTTTATTTCTGCTGTGATTTTTCCCACACCCAAATCCTCTCTTTCCTCACATCCCAGGTAGCTGAGACTCAGCACTGCCCTGACCAACCAAGGTCTGAGACTGCAGATAACCAGTACTAAACAAACAAACAAACAAAGCTGATATGATCTGGCCTGACTTTGCATTGAGACTTGAGTTCTGTAATAATTTTGATTTAAAAAATACAGATAGCACTTTTTCCTATCACTATTTAAAAGCCACTCATTTAAAATATATAAGGCAGTTTTCAGTAAGAAAAGTGATTCAGAAAACTGCGCCTTTAAAAAAAAAACTTCAGCGAGGATATATTTTTATTGATGAGAGAAAGAGAGAGAGAGAGAGAGAGAGAGAGAGAGAGAGAGAGAGAGAGAGAGAGGGAGAAAGAGAAAGAAACATCGATATTAGAGAGAAATGTGAATTGGTTGCTTCCTCTTAGTACCCCGATGGGGATTGAACCCAAAACCTAGGTATGTATTGTACCCTCACCAGGAATCGAATCCTTGACCTTTCTCTGTATTCTAGACTAGACAATGCTCTAACCATTTGAGACATACTGGAAAGGACAAACTGAGTCTTTTTTTAAGCACTGAAAATCATTGGTGGGTAAAGTATCTTAGTTGTCATCCGTCGGCTCCTCTTCCCCAACCATTGAACGAAAGATATGAAAAACTTACCATGATGATGATGGACTTGTTATAAATTGTACTTAAAGCATCTTTTTTAAAAAATGATATTTTACAGAGAGGAAGGGAGAGAGATAGAGAGAAACATAGATGAGAGAGAAACATAGATCAGCTGCCTCCTGCACACCCCCTATTGTGGATGTGCCAGTAACCAAGGTACATGCCCTTGATCAGAATCAAACCTGGGACCCGATGCTCTATCCACTGAGCCAAACCAGTTAGCTAAAGCATCTTTAGGAAACAAACTCATAGTAAAAATTTGACTAGAGACAGTATGGTTCTTAGCTCTTTTGGTTGTTCCAATTGAGTTTTCTGACCTTAGGACAATAAACCATGGTTTTTGCATATGACTTCTAGGGATCCTGTCTCCAGGGATTCCAGGTAAGAATCCCAAGACTACTTTTGGTAATGATTAAACTTCCAAGTTTATAAAGATATTGTTTAATATATTACCTCATGTTTTTATTATTAAATATGAGCATAATTGAAAACAAATTAAAATATAGTTGAGTGTTAATTTTTTAAGTTTCTCTGTGTCAAGCACTTTCTTCAGTTTAGACTGATCAACTCCCACACTATAGAAATCATCAAGCACTTTCTGAGTGCCCACGATGCTAAATGGTGAAAGCATCAGAAATGTTGTGTTTACTTTGTGGAAGTTCTGAGTTTGCACACTTGTGACTATTTATAGCCATAGAGATTTAACACAGTAAAGAGCACCATCCTTTTTCTTTTCTGATGAGTCTGTAGGCCAAAGGAATTGGGTCACTAGGAGTCCCTACCCGCAAGTCAGTACCTTTGCTTTTTTCTTATATCTAGTAGTTTGGTTTACCTGTGGGTAAATGGGTTTAAGAAAAAAATAACTTACCCTATAGATTCATATAGTATGGATTCTGAACTTACATTTAAATCTTTTATTTATTGTGAGTTATGGGTGCATATGCCAGAAATGAGAAAATGAGGCTAGCATGCAGTAGGGGCTTTGAACATTACAGTTGTAGTCAACACTATTGTGATGTAGGTGCCTAATCACTGTTATAATTTTACTTTCTAAACACAAAATAGATCTAAAAGGCATAAATTCATCTAAAAGTGAATGAAGGACAGCATGGATATACAAATTAGGAGATGTAATAATGGGGAGACAGTTCAGCTAAAATCTCAGCAGCTATATATATTATATAAGACTATTCATTGCAGCACTGTTTGTAAATCAAAATTTTGGGAACTATCTAAAAGTTATCAACAATTAGGTAAATAAAGGTCTAACCACAAGGCTCCATAAAACAGCCTTTAAAAAAATTACTCACCTCTATATAATGGGGGAGAGCAGGAATCAAGGTATTTGCATGAGGAAGGGAATAGGATTAGCATATATGCATGGACTAAGTCTCTTCTTTCTGGAAGGATATACAATACAATGAAAATAGAGATCCAAGAGCCGGGACCGGTTTGGCTCAATGGATAGAGCGTCGGCTTGGGGACTGAAGGGACCCGGGTTCAATTCCGGTCAAGGGCATGTACCTTGGTTGCGGGCATATCCCCAGTAGGGGGTGTGCAAGAGGCAACTGATCGATGACTCTCTCTCATCGATGTTTCTAACTCTCTGTCTCTATCCCTTCCTCTCTGTACAAAATCAATAAAATATATTAAAAAAAAAAAAAAAAAAAAAAAAAAAAAGAAAATAGAGATCCAAGATGGCTGCGCCCAGGTGAACACCTAGCCGCAGCCACACACAACAATTTCAATAAAATACAACTAAAATATAAAACGGACATTTCCCAGAACTAGAGGAAGGTTGACTGACTGGAAATTCTACAGTGAGAAGCAAGGAGAAAACCAGAAGGAGGTGCGGAGGAGCTGGAAAAACCAAGGTACAGAGACGGGGCGCGCGGAGAGGACGGAGCCGGAGAGGAGGGAGGCCGAGTGCCTGGCGGGCGTTCCCGAGCGGAAAGGAGATAAAACTCCGACTGTGCTGGGCCCCCGACTGCTCTGATCCCCAGTTTTAAGCCAGACCCCGGGGACTCAGGCTCAGCCATAGGGAGCCGGGCTGTAAGGCGGAACCCCGGGGAAGTGGCGAAAAGAGGTCCCAGCGGTGCGCACACTGCGCGCAGAGAAGGGACGGTCGGCTGTGCCACAGGATTGCCCTGGCGGGAAGGAGACTGGGGCTCCAGACTGCTCTGAACGCCACCTCCAACTCCACTTCCAACTGAACTGAACCCCAATACCGGGCTCATTGTGGGAGAGCACAGACTGGCAGCAGGCGAAAATCGAGGGCACCTTTCTCTCAGAGGCGCCGGCAGCGAGCACTGAAGGACCCGCATAGGGCAGGGCTGATGGAAGCCAAAGCTGCAGGCTCCACCCTGAAACCCCGTCCCATCTGTAACTGCGAAATGCCACACCAAAATAGATCACAAACGAAAGAAATGGAGGATAAAAAGCATCTGGATATAGAGTTCAAATCTACACTTATAAGGTTTTTCAAGAATTTCCTAGAAAAGATGGATAAGGCCTATGAGGATATGAAAAGAGATCAACTAGAATTAATAAGGAGTCATCGAGAAATGATAAGGGATCAACAAGAAATAAAGAATACATTGTCTGAAATGAAAAATATTTTACAGAGTCCTAAAAACAGAAGGGAAGATCACAAGAATCAAGTCAAAGATTTGAAACATAAAGAGCCAGAAGACACTCCTCCACAGAAGCTAGAAGGCAAGAGAATCCAGAAAATTGAAGATGATGTAAGAAACCTCTGGGACAACTTCAAGCGAACCAACATCAGAATTATGGGGGTCCCAGAAGATGAGAGAGAGCAAGATATCGAAAACATACTGAAAGAAATAGTGACAGAAAACTTCCCCCACCTGGTGAAAGAACTAGACTTACAAGTCCAGGAAGCGCATAGAACCCCAAACAAAAGGAATCCAAAGAGGACCACACCGAGACACATCATTATTAAAATTCCAAGAGCAAAAGACAAAGAGAGAATATTAAAAGAAGCAAGAGCAAAGAAGGTAGTAATCTATAAAGGAGCACCTATACGACTGTCAGCTGATTTCTCAACAGAAACCATGCAGGCCAGAAGGGAATGGCAAGAAATATTCAAGGTGATGAATAGCAAGAACCTACAGCCAAAAATAATCTACCCAGCAAAGCTATCACTCAGAATGGAAGGCCAGATAAAGAGCTTCACTAATAAAAAAAAGCTAAAGGAGTTCATCACTGCCAAACCAGAATTATATGAATTGCTGAAGGGGGTTCTTTCAGAAGAGAAAGTAAATAAAGATAAAAATTATGAACAACAAATACATAACTATCAACAAGTGAATCTAAAAACCAAGGAAATTAAAAAAATCTGATGAACAATATTAACTATTGAATATAATAGAATCAGAGGTATGGAAGGGGAGTGAACTGACGATTCTTGGGGAAAAGGGGAGAGAGGGACGTGGGAAGAGACTGAACATAAACTGTGCACCTATGGATGAGGACAATGGGGAGAGGGGAAAGGGCAGAGGGTGGGGTGGGAACCTGGTGGAGGAGAGCAATGGTGGGGGGGGGGGGGAAAGGAACATTTGTAATAATATGAACAATAAAAACTTATAAAAAAAAAAAAAAGAAAATAGTGGTTGTCTGGGGAGGATAACTGGAATGCTGAAGGACAGAGGAGTGTCTTAAATCTTCCTCTATGTACCTTTTAGAACTTTAAATCTTCCAATGTACCTTTCAGAACCTTTCAATTAAAACATTTCCTAGGCAACAAAATTAAAAATTGGTTTGTTTTGTTTTTTAATGATTATGGGTGGAAAAAGAGACTAATTTTTAGCTCAGTGATTGGTTCAGATAGAATCTACTAAGTAGTAACACTGTCAAATTATGATATAGAATAACTTTCCTAAAACTTTCTTCCAAAGAGACTGAAGCACATCCATTCATCCAATCAATATATCAGTGCTGCCTCGCCAGTATGGCTCAGTGGTTGAGTGTTGACTAAGAACCAAGAGGAGGCAAATATGAGAATGAAGAGAAACTATGGGGAGGGGAGAGGAAAACTGTGTTTTAGGAATCTTAAGGTAAACCTTTCAGAAGATAAGTCATGTGAGTCAAGAACTGAACAATAAGCAATGCAATAAACAGGAGGAAAGCCCTGTGACTGTAATAAACAAGGTTCCAGTGCATAGGATACAGCAAAGCAACAGTGTGGCTGAAGTGAAGTAACACAGAGAAGTGCAGAGAAATTCTCAGAGGTAGGCAGATCCCAGTGACATAAAGAACCCCGTAGGTATTGGGGGGAGAGGGGAGTGCATGGGGGCAGAAGGGGGTAATCAAGATTTTATTCTAAATGTAATGGATGGAGAACCTTTGTAAAGTTCTGGACAGGGGAGTGACATGATCTATATTTTTAAAAATCACCTTTTAAGCCGAAAGGAGACTGATATAGTAGGCCAAGCAACAAATGATGGAACTGAACAATGGTTTCAGAACGATGATGAAATGAGTCTGATTCAGGATATATTTTGAAAGTGGAGCCTACAGGATTTGCTACTGGATTGGAAACGGAAATCCAACTGGGTGAATAGTAATTATATTTGTATAGTTAGTTACAGATCTCAAGATACTCTTACATATTAGTACATTATTTCATTTCATAATAACAAGACACTGAGGAAGGTCATACTGAATCAATATTCAAATTCTTCCTCTTGCCAAAAGAGACTTCAATGGGTTTTTAGACTACAAACTGTATTGTCTACATACCAAGATTTCTGCAGGTATCAAATGGTTAGAGAATTTTGCAAATGTAAATGACGACCATTTTGAGATAGACAGCATCATATTACAGTTGTCCAACGAAGGACAGTATGTTCCTATCATTCAGGACAGTAGAGTTACCCATACCACCACCACCACCACCACCACTAAAATCCACAAAGAAATTTGTGCTGTGAGTGTGAGAGAAGCAGCAAACTTTTTTTTTTAAATTCTGATATTTATCCGAAACCGGTTTGGCTCAGCTGTAGAGCGTTCGTCTGCGGACTGAAAGGTCCCAGGTTCGATTCCGGTCAAGGGAATGTATCTTGGTTGCGGGCACATCCCCAGTAGGGGGTGTGCAAGAGGCAGCTGGTCGATGTTTCTAACTCTCCCTTCCTCTGTAAAAAATCAGTAAAAATAAAATAATAAAATAAAATAAAATTCTGATATTTAAAAATAGACATTTCATTGATTATGGAAAAACCTACATTATATAAGCATGGGCACTAAAAACACACACACACAGCATAATCTTGTAATCCTTCCTATGGATTGGAGAAAGCTACAAATGGCATAAAGTAAGAACCACCTAAGTTTTATAAGATAAAACCCAAATCACAGCACCACGTTCATTAAAGAGATGATACCAACAAAATACTGTAAAATTAAAATTATGCATTATCGCTGTATTGGTTTAAATAGTAAAATATAAATGCCTAGTGTAAACAAAATTATT